CATAATTGAAAAATGATAAAACAGTTATTTTGGACATAAAACTAGAAATAGTAGACTTTAGACTGTGCTGAATAAATTCTGTGCACAAACAAAACTAACTTTTATAAATTAACAAGACAAAGATGCACGGATACAAAAAGATAACAGGCTTGAGAACTGATACAATTAAGTTGGCCTAAACTTCTATTTACTTTGTACGCAAAATAAACTAGTATATGTATATTGGTTAGTTATCTAAGGAAATTTTCACTTAACTAGATTGCCATACAAGGGATAGTTTCAATATCATTGAATTCTCACAGTATCTATTTTCTAATATTAAATCTGTGCCCAGTACCAAGAATTTTCAGTAATCTTTTCGTAAACATAGTGATTATATGCTACATTGAAGCGCATAACTTTCACAAAGGATTTCATTTCATGCTACAACTTTCAGTTAATCCGAGTTATTCAGCCGGCAAATTATGATCCATCAAGATGACATATTCAAAAACATTCTACCAAAGATATTTCTGTGTTAGAAATGAAAATATTAGTGAAAATTATGCTTCCATAAACATAATTCACGGATTTAAAAAAAGAGGAAAATGTCCAGACATACAAGTAGTATTAATTTAAATGAACACCGAAAAATCATTGGTCGAATTCGGGCCAACTAATAATAAATAATGCTACAATTAATCAATGAGATAATAACTAGAATTAATAGCGTTAAACAAGAATAAACAAAAGTGGAAACAGTCAAAGGATTCCATTCGAATTATTAATTTATATTTAACATGAACAGTTTTAATTGAGATAGACTTACAAATGGAAGAATAAAACTGAAAGTAATTTGATGACCAGAGAGAACAAAGAAGTCGTACAAACAATTTCTGGATGTAGAGGTCAGGTCCATTGAGGTGCACTCCCACCGACTCCACTATATTTGACAGTCGAGTTCCTCAATCAATAAGTCAATTAAATTGGGTTCGAAACATATTATCATTGCTACATTCATGTTGACTTAATGAACTGTGTTAAATAAAAGTCAAGGGAGACAGTTTCTTATTGTTCTCTTTCGTCATTCGCTCAAACGTGAAGCATGATATTCCAACAAATATGTTTATAGATGACACATGTACTCAATCTCCTTACTATACATGACTAGTTGGTCGAGCATTAAGAATGGTGAACTGTTCACTGAATCGAACCAGAGAACAAAGATCACTTCATTTCAGTTGAAAGTTTTCACAATTATCCAACTTGGAAACAACATGGTCGAAATCTCAGTATCATACACTAGTCTGTTTGTAAATATTCAATGTCACGGGAAGACATTGACGACACAACTCTCGAAGCCAAAGTATCTCAGCAATGTTGATTCTTTCTAATGTAAGACACTCATTACAGTTCATGCACAGAAACACCAACGAATAAAACAAGTAACTAAAGACAAAGCGACAACTTGATTTATCAACTTGGAATTATCAAGTAAGTGTGGTGAATAGTTGAGTAGTTAACACAAACCTACGTGAAATGTGCAATTACTTTCGAATAGATCTGTGGTGAAGCATCAAACTTCAAAAGCCAAACTGGTTAGATGTATTATGAACCACTCTATGATCAGTTGGAACAGTGAAAATATGCAGAAAATGAACTCAAGTCACAATTATGCTTATATAAATTTATAACACTATAACATATTGATCACTGGTTGATTAGTGTTAGTTAATTCATCGGTTGGTCATTGTTGGTGTGCAATGAAGAATTCTCATTTTCTACATCGGATTTCATTGTACGGTTAGTTTGTTTTCTGTAATCTCGTCTCAGTCACATGCAACAGCTCTCCTTTCCATGTCTTTCATATTTGATTGTTCAGTCACACATTTACAGTCTCAATATTGTTTTCATATTGTGATGCCTCTATTCTTCGTACTACATTTCGTCCACACATGATATTCATTATTCAGCTAAACATTCAATTTCACGATATGTTTACAAGGAATTCACATATTGATTATTCTAGCCTAAAACAGCATCAACAGCATTGTGGTCAATGTGAATTAACGCGTAGACTAAATAATGTGTTTCGTATGTGTCCACCCTCACAATCAATACCGCCAACACACTCATGCCAATTGAGTGTGTGACAAACACACGTGAATTTCATTTTGTCCTACAATGCATCATTAGATAGACTGGATTGTTTCACCGATATTTTTACTATTTATTGATCGTTTCCAATTGATTTGTATTTCTGTATGCAGTTTGTCATATTTCTGGTTGGACTTTTATTTCATGTGCTGAAATTGAACTTACAGTATACGAGAGGTCATTCTTGTCAATACTGTCCTGACGAAACAACACACAAATGTAAGTTATCTGTTCATGTGTTTCATAGAATATCAATGTGTGTTATTTCCAATAACAAACTTCACCTCGTTTCAATATGGTCGTTAGGAGGTAAAATGCACAGCTTTGTACACTACTACTACAACTACTACTACTACTACTACTACTACTACTACTACTACTACCACTCCAGATCCACATACTGTCTAAATCAGTGACTAAACGTTTGCGTCAATGTAATGTCCATTCATCAGTAGTTTATATGGGTAATCGAACTAGACGTTTCTGCTACATTCTAATTAGTGGAGTCTACACATACATAGATTACTAGAAAGATTTCTCGATAATTGTCAAATTGAGATTGAAAAATGATCAGTAGCTGACAGAAAACTGAGGTGTGAATCAAATATGTGTCTTCAAATTTAATGTTTCATCGCAATGTTGTTCAAGTAATAAACGCATCGGAATGCGTGGATATTCCGAAGTGATCAAAACCAATCGGACATGAGACACACACGGTAAAACAAGCATGAAAACCAGTGACCAAATAGAGATAGCAGACACAAGCGAACAGACACAATTAAACAGACACAACCGACATTCCACATCACACACCAACAAGGTTTACATGACTGTCCACTTATCACTAACAACCTAACAACACTCAACCAATAGTAATTGAGTGCATGGAATATACGGTTGGTGGCAGAAAATTCTCAACGTGTCACCTGTCTGTCTCACACTCTCATTCAAAATCTTACTTTCGTTCAGTTCACAACCACATGACAGATTGCTCGATCATGATCAATACACCTCGAAAGTCAGCTTGTGCATCAAAACTTCCTCCTCCAACATCACAAACACCAACACCACCACCACCAACAACAACAACAACAACACAGTCGAACATGACCATGGTCACACGATACACAACTGAGGAGGCGAATGAGTTAGCCAAACTGGTATTGAGATATCGGGATATTTGGAAAGACAAGAAACAGTCATCCGCACTTGTCCAGAAACATTTGTGGATGCAATTCTCACAGTATCTACACTCGAAGGGATGGCCGAGAAGGAACTGGACTCAGCTGCGTCGAAAGGGTCAGAGTTTGCTGAGGAAATTCAATGACATGACAACCAACCAGTTGGAGGTGTCGAAAAGCAATCCCAATCCCCTTGAAAATCCCTCGAACCACACGCCACTTTCCAGTTCCAATGCAAACTCACACGTGAATGGACACATTGGTTCGGTAAGTTTGCCTTACCCGATGACGTGCTAATTGTTTCCATTGAATTCAGGTGACCGAGAACCAGTCGAGTGTGCATCGACCCAACTTGCCTACACTGACCCCGTCACCAGTGGTAAGCACCACCTCCAAACGTGCCACACCATCACTCAGTTCCCCTACAAACCACGTGCAACCGAATCCCCCAAACACAAGTGGTCCAAAAATCCTCAACGCATTCTCAACAGCTCACATATCTCAACAACTGGCCATTCCACATGATGTTGCAGTGCTGCAGCCAACCACCACCAACAACAACAACATGGTTGGTGAGGTGGCGATTAACCGAGTTGCCTTACTGACTCCTCTGTCATGTATCTCGTTCGGAGTGGCGAGAGCCCATACTGCATCCGAATCTCCTGTTCGAGAAGTGAATATGTCGAAGCCACCATCGGACCAACCGAGTCGAAATCCTGTGACTGCAACAATTGATTTATCAGTGTCGAGTGATGACGAGGAGAGCTGTCAAGAGTTGAGTGGAACGAGAGATCAGGTGAACACGAATCATGTGAATGATTTGGGTGAAACGTCCGAGGATAGTGTCACGTAAGTAGGACACCTCTTTTGAACTGACACTTTTCACCTTATGTTATTCGTGTTGTCTGTTGTTTGACTGCCACCACTAGCATCACATATTGCTAACTGACCGACTGCTCCACACTGCTTGTTATGTGAACATGAGAATGTGCAATTATCTTGATGACTATAATTGTTACGGTACTACTGGGATGCGATCCACACAAGCAGTGAGTGAGCGAGCTAACCATCGAGACAGATATAAATAAAATAATTTATTTGTAATATCGGAATGAGTAGAAAATGAGATTTTCTGACATTCCGTGACTCAGTGTAGGCCACTTCTTCAGAGAAGTAATCACCAGATCAAAATTATATGTTTTATATATACATTATTTATAATTTATAACAATCTACCCAATGCTCAATTTATTCGAAGTGATCAAGTTAAACCTTGGTGATGATACCAACGAGACAGATAGATAGATAGATACATAGATAGATAGATAGATAAATTAGTAGACGGGCAAATAACCAGTATAGCCAATCATATGTACACAAATCAAACACTGTTCGCTTGTGTGCAATGGTGGTCCATCTCACTGAAGTGTCTTCGTTCCAATTTCTACGTCACTGAACAGCTTGATTATTATCGTTAATATGAGGGTGTGTGAGTGTGTGTGCATGCTTAGTGAAAATTCTTATCTACTTGTGTTTGTGAGTTGTGCATATGGTGTAGTACATTTGGTGATTATGATATATGTGACGACATTTATGTATATATAAACATGCATATAATCACATCTATCCTACATTTGACTCGTGATGATAATCAGATGTTCAAACTGTGACTGGTTTTTGTAGATCGGAATGTGAGGGAACCCCATTGTCAGAGACGTTGATTCACAAGCGAATAAAATGTCTAGATCTGAAGATTGAAATTCTGCAGATGAAGAAACAATATTGGTCGGAGAAACTGAAATTATCAACGAAAAGCTGAATGTTTGGTGAGAGGCGATCCATGCATGAACTACCATTGTGATTGTCATCAATTCTATTCATGTGAATAGTGCACATTTGTAAATTGAATTTATATCTATGTATGTATACATATTGTGACTGACCTATCTATCAATGAATGGACAAAAATTGTTCTTCATTTTCATCATTATTGTGTATTCGTGTGGTGTGTGTGTGAAGTTGTTTGTCTGTTAGTTCTTTTGTTTTGAATCGATTTGAAGTGGAGTGTTGTGCAATACTGGTTTGTTTCAAATGTTGAGTGGTTGACTACTCTGTTGCATACTGTACATAATTAAATTGAAATGTTGGTTTTGTAAAAATCCCATTTCTTTTTGTCTTTGAATTAATGACGGTGATCGACAATTGGTTATGTGGATGACGGATGATAGTTGTCTTAGAATACACATATATTAGACGTTTGTCAATTTTGTTTATTATCATGATGAATTGGTTTATATTGATAGATATTTATTCTAGTGATTTCTGTGTAATTAACTATTTGATATTTCATTGATGATGCATAACATGTTCGGTATGTTCGGTAATCGACATATGTGTATAATTGATGTCAACTTGAAATTGTTGATGATCGGAAGTGAAGGAGATTGTTGAGAATGAATGTTCTCATTGGGATGGTGAAGAGGTTAATAATAACACTAATAATAATAATCATTGTTTTTGAATATGTTTGTTCTGTTTCCTGTTAACTCATTTGTAAATAGAATTGTTCAGACTGAAATTGTGTAAACTTTCATTGCCTGTTCTGACAATTTTAAGTATGTAGTAGAGAACGGTTGAAGAATTATGAGGATTATGTAGATTACAATATAATAGAATAATTGACTGATGATTGTGTTTTATTTCGTGTACAACGTGTGTGTGGAGATTTGTACAGTTGCCTGTGTTACTTTGTACAATATGAGATAATGAACGGCTTGTTAGAATTGTCTTTGAATATGTGAACAATTGGACGATATTTTCTCGTTCGAGTCGACAATTTTGTTACTATCGTCAAGTAATCAATCAGTTGAATTGAGGTGCACATGTCGAATGTTTGCTGCTAGTGATTGAATGTTTAGGAGTCGTCACGTCTTTACTATATAAACTAGTTCTTAGTCATATTGGTTTGAGTGTATATCGTCATTGTGTGTTGTTCATACTTTTGTGTTGTAAAATGTGTAATAGTGCGGTAAAATAGTGGGAGTGTGGTGCGTGTGTCGGTAGTTTACATGAATATGTGAATATTTGATTGAAATGCAATTGAGAGTGGAAATTAAGACATTCAACGGATGAGTCATTAAAGATTAGTCAATCGTTGATTTAACAAAGTGTTAATCGATGGTGGGATTATTTATGAATGAGAAATAATGATGATGAAACTGGTTGGTGTTCGACAGTTGTGGATCAACTGTGATAGATGTTTAACGAATGAATTTACAGCAAATAAGATGGATAACTAATTAGAGTAATTTCTCATGAATCCATCAAACCCATTTCTGTAAGCTTTAGTCTATTTATGTATTACCAGCACAGATTGTTTGTTAGTACTCTGACAAATTGACTCTTTCAACACATGATCATGCGTTTCATCTATAGGTTGTAGTAAGAGACCATACAAACTTTAAGCGTTAGTTGGGTTGTCATCTGTTTAGAGACAACAGTTGTTTGGATGTGTTCAGAAGGAGATAGTTGATGACTGTTAGGTGTAGTTAACCAATGTCCAACAGAAATTCTCCACCACTATTGAACAATCGAATTCAAATCTTGTTTAATTACTGAACTTGATAATTTTATATGTGACCTGTCGAACATCATTTGATCGGTCGTCTATACCGATGTGACACTTGTTTCTCTCAATATTTCCTTGAGTTGTTTAATCATTTGTTTATTCTGTCTGCCACATGTAGTTAGTTGAAACATTTTGGATAATATTTAGTAAACCGTGTCCTGGAGTAATATATGTTTGATATAAATTATCATATCTTTCTGAGTGAATAGTTTGGTGAGAGGATTCTCGATTGTCAAATTGAATTTGGTAAACTTTTGTGTGAGTAGATTTGTCGTAGAAAGTGTCTTGCGGTTAATTCATTTGTAACTGTTAGAAATTTGTGGACTGATCGAAAATGTATTTTCGTTTTTGATTATGGTTTCAATACGGTATACACATGTGATACTCTACAGAAGGAGAACATTTGTTTGTAATTCTATTCAGATGAACATTTTGGTCAGTAGAAGTTTGATATTTACTTATTGTGATAATTTTGCAAATTATGCACGGGTATTTCTCGATTGGTTTGGATTTGCAATAATTTCAGTAAAATATCTTATCTTGTGTTACACATTGATGTGCTTATATGGTCAAGGTAATGGCGATGCTATCGTATATACTTATCATACAACTCTTATATGTAGTACGTGACTTGTTAAGCACTTCGATGAACTACTACGAAACTTCAACATCCGATCTATGTGTGGAATCGTCCGATTGTTACATGATTCGAGTGATGTCTCATCCTGAAGTCTCATTATTCGATTTGCAAGTTATGAACATGGTAGTTACACTTTGGTCAATTGTTTCTAATGTGTTGTTTTCAAACATAGTTTACAGTGATATTAATATTATATTCTGTTCCTCAGTCTTCCCCTCATCAATCATGTGTTTCTATCTATCATAAAAATTTCAACAAATTTCCTGTGTCACTACTACACATTTCCATTCCATCCTCCACACTGGTGTAAGACAATTTTAAACGCAATCAATCAATGATCCCTGTGAGAGTTCGTGTATTGCTTCATCTAGGAGTTTAGTTGGGAATGTGTGTGTGTTTTGACAGAATCAATGAGATGTGATGTGGAGATTTATTGAAGATGGTCAGATGAAAAACAAATAATTATATTCAGTCAGTTCACACACACAAACATCGGCTTATTTATTTGTCTATTTTCTAGAATCACTGGTTACACCAACAGAAGCATGGTTTATTTGATAATCAATGATGATGTAAATAAATGAAGAGGAACGGTAGGAGATGATGACCGTGTTAAGCACCCTGAAATTCCTAATTGATCAAAGTGAAGCGGATCATATGGAGTTGCAGTATTTAATGTCATGGATTCTCTTCTCGAAGGAAAGCATCCGAAATTGTAATGAATCACTTTTCGTACTAAAAATGAACGAACAAACAAAGTAACGTAATCTGACTGGAAATGACAAAATAGACATTGAACTGAACACAAACACCATATATTGTAATCAGACGAGTAGGTCAGACATAAACACTACGAAAATTGATGCAATTGATTTCAGTGTATGAGAATGACTAACAGTACATAGAGTTTTTGTTCAAAGTGAGATTATCACTGATTGTTTGAAATAATAATAAACGTTTTGGGAAATAACTTTGAATGTGTACTGTTTATTCATTGATGTGTCAACGAATTTGCGAACCTATTGTCCATATATAAAAGTGAATTTCTAATAATCGGATGACTCAGATTAATTTTCACTCCGTGCAGTTTGGTTAAGCAACAGATGAAACAACATTCGTGGTGTTTTCTAATCTTAACTTCTTTCCTGTTTGTTTCAAATTACAGTGTATACCAATTCAACTGGATGGTTTCGTCGAATGAGATTGATAAGAATAATCTTACTTTGCAAAACTAATTTAACCCTTGAAATGTTTCACCTCTGTTCTCTCCATCTTTCCCCCTTCAGATCGCAGTGAAACGAAATGCCAAAAATTTTGTTGATATAAGTTCGGAGAGCACTGGATAGTTGTTTCGTTGTGACATGATGCTCATCGTGAGGGAGCACCCATAACTCATGACAGTAAACATTCGGTATCGAATGCTTACAAAACTATGTATTTTGAGGAATGATTTTCCACTACAATAGAATATGTTTTGTGACACAAAGGTAAATTTACTAAAACCAATTATAACATTAAATGAATACATTAGATGACAAGTTAATTTTTAAATTAAGCCAACAGGTCATAACACGTTTTCATTTTTCATTTTACAATTAATGTTCAAGAAAGATTGAACTGGGAAAACAAATACTCTTTTACACTGTGAATTATAGTCAGTTGGAGAAGCATGTTTTATTCATTTGGTTAGTTTCACTGTCTACTTGTAAGAAAGATTCATTTCTACATATCGATTGACGAAAATAATAGACAGTTGAGTAAATGTGCAAAGACACATTATCTCTGATACGGTTTATAAGATAAATCAATGAAGTTTTGTGCCTCCATCGCACTCACACTTAGTAACAACAACAATGATAATAATAATAATAATAATAATAATAATAATAATAATAATAATAATAAGGAAAAGAAATTTTGTTTGACAGGAAACAGTGATGAGAAAACAAGTTCAGCAAAAATGTACAAATGTGGAGAAAAGCGCAAGGTTACATTACATAGTATATACAATTTTGAATGTATCGGAAAGTGATGCGAGAATAGAAATTGAATTTCACAAGCATGTCATATATACTTTGAGTGTATTTGATATGTGGCTGGTAGTGGAATTCAGAATGACTGTTTACACTCAATCCAGGATTTGTCATCTGGATGAATCTGAATCCAAGTATGTTGATGTTCGCAGTGAGACTTGAACCTGGTAACATTCGTTCCGAACACGTAATGTGCTATCGACTGATCCATTGAGTTTGAATACTCACTAACTTGTTCAAAGTGTATGAGGGTACTAGACAGTGTTTGTGATTCCGTGTAGTTGGTTTGTATAGCCGTTGAATAAATTGTTGAATCTGTGTATTCAGTGACCCAATGAACAATTGGTTAGACTTTTGAAACGATGGATATTGAGTGTGAATCTCATGGGGATTCTCAACAGTGGAGTGGAGTTAAATCCAGGTAATAATTACCACAAAGAACGGAATGGGTGTCCTTCATTCCAGTGTCAACCACACAATCAATATGGTATAACTTGTTACTGAGTGTTATTTGTAGGCAATCCGCTTGTGATCCACAAATGACAACAGACACTGATTGGTTGCAGTTCTGAATATGAATATCATGAAATTGACAACCCTCATTCACATCGTATTCACTCTGTCAATGGGATGCATAATTAGACGAAATTAATAGTAACATTGGTAATAACAATAACAATAATAATAATAATAATAATAATAATAATAATAATAACTTCACTCAATGTTTGATGATTTGTATAATTGTGAAATCAAACTCTCAGTTCATCAACAATCGAGTCGAGATTCCTGAATTGATGTCTGACCACCATTGTGATGCATGTTTGGACGTAGTAGTAGCTGGAGATCGTTCTTGTTTTCCTATGAGTGATCTGATGCTAGGACTATGTATTTCATGAATTGAGATCTGATGAACTTTCATTTTTCGAATGCCTATTTCCCAGTCACTGTGATTACTGTGATTTAACTTTACTGTATTTTGCAGTTGATATGTTGGGATATTTGTAGATGGACACGTGTAGAAATGGTACACTCACTCTTTGCCATACTTGTGTTTATCATCCAGCATGTTGTGGTGCGCTACACTGAACCCATTCATAACAGAAAGTTGACATGAACTCCAATCTAACCATTTCTCAACTTTGTGCAATTTATCATTTATTCATTACACTTGTCCATTGATCTTAGTTGACACCAGATTGTGTTATGTATTTATAGAAACGGATTACGGTATTGATGTTTCTTGTTGGTCTACTGTACATGCAAATCGAATAACGATAGAGTAATTCCAATACGAACAGTTCTATTGTGGATACGTTAATGGCAATTGAGACAAAACACTTCAATAATTAGCCACTAGTATAGAGAGAAAACGAAGTGTGGAACAAACCTGGAATCCGAACAAGATAACTTGAAAAATTATGACTCAGTATATACTGTGAAGAAAGCTCAACTTTGAATTGTACTGAAAATTAGTAAATAATAAGAGCATCAACAAATCAGAAGATGGCAAAGGTTGTGAGGAAATTTGAATTCGAAAAGATGTACTCGTTTTTACTGTTACTAGTAAGATTTGAATATTACTAACAGAGACCAAATAGTCCTGTGATGATTACGTTAGCAGATTACTGAATCAATTAATCAATTAATCAAAAATGATTTCAAACAATTTCTTGTCTCCCAACTTCTTCCACATCAATTTTAGCACAGATTGCTTAAACATGTGGGACAG